AGAGAGAGAGAGAGAGAGAGAGAGAGAGAGAGAGAGAGAGAGAGAGAGAGAGAAAGAGAGAGAGAGAGAGAGAGAGAGACACACTTGCAAGCATGCACCCATGTTCACCCACGCAGGCACGCACACAGACACACACAAAAACACACAACTGGCATTTCACTAAAATTGACATGTTTTATTATTTTCATGAAAAAACAGTTTTTTCTTGGATGCCCAATTTCGTGAAAATATTAAGAAATGTCAATTTTAACGAAATGCTCGTGGCATTGGACCATTGATGGTCCGGAGTCCTGGGGACTCCGGGCCATCTGATGTATCTCGACATAAAGTACCGTCAAAATACATCCGAGGGTAAAAAAAAAAGGAAAAAAAGTCAAGGCGGATGAGATGGCGTCCTGGGAACTCGGACCATCAATGGTCTGATGTGGTTGGCACAAAAAAATGCTAAAAAATACTGTGCTTTTTTGGAAGATCAATTTCGTGAAAATAGTAAAACATCATCATGTCAATTTTAACGAAATGCCTGTTACACACGCACACAATTATTTTTATGGATGCCTCCCGTCCTGGTGTTTTGTACGTTCCCTTCTTTTCTAAGGACTTTCTGTGCGTCAATGCGAACACCACGGATTGCTACTGACTGTGCTAAACAGTCAGTGGTGATTGTTCGGAGTACCTGCGGTCCTGCAGTACCATCACGGGGCACGCTCTGTTCGTGATGTCTGCTGTGCATATGGTCTATGGGTGATGTTAGAAGTCCATCGAAGTGGCTTCCTGGCGCAATAGGCCGTGGGATCGGACACTCTGCGGGTTCTGCTTGTGGTGTGAGATTGTTATGGATTGCTTTAGTCCATGCTGGACTACGTGTGAGCTGCCTTGTCTGCGCTCCTCCGCTGCCCTGCTGCCCATCGCGCTTGCTTCCCTCTTCTTTCCTTGCAGCTGCTGACAAGCCCATCGCGCTTGCTTCCCTTTTCTTTCCTTCCAGCTGCTGAGCCTTCTGTCTCTGCGGTGTTGTTTGGCTGACAGTGTGGTGTCCGTGTCGCCTTGTGCTTCCCTGTGCTGTTGCCTTGCTGCCCATCCGCGGGCCTTAACGTCCCATGCACTGGCATGCAGTGTGCTTGACAATGTGTCTTGTGCAGTTTGGCTGCTTTGTTTGCGCTGCCTTGTTCTCCACTCCAGTCTTGCCTAGTTGCACATCTGCTTGGCAATGCCCGGCCTTGCCGGCCTTGCCGTGCTATGTGTTTCCATGTGGCGTACCTGTGTGCTTTTTAGTTTGGCTGCCTAATGTCTCCCCATGTTGCGTACCTGTGGGATTCAAGTTTGTTGTAGTTTGGCTGTAATTGTCAGCCCGGGCCTGCGTTGTGCCTTGCTGCATCGCTGCTATACTGCTTGACAGTGCTTGTGCTACAGGTTGTCCACTTTTCAAGGTGAGTCCAAGGGTTCATGGCTCAAAGCAAACCCATGGCTCCCCATTGCTTCAATATAGGGATTCCATCCGCAGATTGTTGAGGGTTCAGCCGCCCGACTCCTGATGAGTCGGTCTAACTCCCACGGAACAATCTTTCGTCATCAGTTGATTCAGTTTTATGTTTTACGTTTTTCACTCTTTGTTTCCCGTCCTTGTCCTTTTGGTCTGCCTTGATGCTTAATGCCCAGTAGCTGACTCTTGGGTTGCCGCCCTTTACTTCGCTGCCAACTAGTGTTGTTGCCCTCCAGACTATGTTCCTTAATGCTGCTTGCTGTCCGATGCCTTGTTGCTTGCTGACCTTTGACTTCCCATCTTTCTTCTCGCTGTGTTTTGCGGCCGCTTCTGCTTTGCTGCTGTTTGACTTGCTTTTTGCCTTAGCATGGTTCTTTTTGTCTTCATGCAGTGTCAACGGTAACGATAACCCCCCATACACACCCGTGACTGCAAAAAAAAAGAAGAAAGAACAGGGGGGGCTGGTCTTCCAAATAAGATAACCCCCTGTACAGCATTCGTAATGGATGTGGCCCATTGACTGGGCCACATTCAGAATACAGCTGGACTGCAGATCCATGCCCATACATTCAAAGTGCTGTTCAGGTCCGCCATGTCCTTTGCCTCTCTCCATCTCTCTCTCTCTCTCTCTCTCTCTCTCTCTCTCTCTCTCTCTCTCTCTCTCTCTCTCTCTCTCTCTCTCTCTGTCTCTCTCTGTCTTTTGTGTGTTGTCATATTCGCTACTATACACTAAAAAAAAGCATGACTGTGCCAGACTGTTTCGTCGGAGTTTCACCGACTCATCAGGAGGTTGAATGTGTGTGTGCGTGTGTGTGTGTGTGTGTGTGTGTGTGTGTGTGTGTGTGTGTGTGTGTGTGTGTGTGTGTGCGTGCATGCGCAGGCTGTTTAAACAATTAATAACTGCTTGATGCTTGATTGGTTGATTAAGGAATTGATTGATTGGTTGATTGGTTGATTAACAAATTGATTGATAGAGTATTGATTGATAGATGATTGATTTGATTGATTGGTTGATTGATTGATTAACTGATGGGTTTATGGATTGCTTGATGACTGATTGATTGATTGACTTTTTACATTTTCTTTTCCAGGCGGGGTTCTAGGCCTTTTTTTTTTTTTTGCCACACCACTCTTGAATCAGGGAAATGTTTCAAGAGCTGTCAGACGATTTCAAGAGTTGCATTTTCGAGAACTTCCGGCGGCCCATCGCCACACAGCACTCCTGAAACGGCAACAGTGCAAAAAGACAAAGGATGCAAAAAGACAGTCGTACAGCTTTGTCTTTTTTTTAATGGCGTCAAGATAACGGCCCCCAAAAAAAAAAAAAAAAAAAAAAAAAAAAAAAAAAAAAAGTCAATAGTCCCTCAAGGGTTCGGCCACGGGCGCTTGGAAACGCAGGAGTTGCAGGCTCTGGCTGGGGTTTCCACTCTTTCAAGACCCCCCCTTGAAAGGGGGTTTTCAAGAGGCTGCCACTCAAGGGGCTCACCACACCAGTGTCGAAAATGCTTTAATTTTCGACAACTGTCATTTTTCGGCATTGGTGGGTTCGGAAAAAAGACCGCCTTCGCCACACAGCTCATTTCGACTTGGCCGGTTTTTGAGGCTGTGGAACTGAAGACATATGAAGACATGAAGACAGGATTTCCACAGCGCCTCGACTCTGACAGTTGTCGAAAAGCCACTCGTTGTCACAATCTCCCAATAATATTGTGGTTTCGAGTTTTGGCCCGCTGCAGGCAGGCGGTTTCGAGTCGGAAACGGCGGTTGTTGAAAACTCATACCTGACACATGTCGAAAAGATTTGGGAAAAAGACGCGGCGATGCACAAATGTTGAAAAAAAAGAGTTTTCGACACTCAGTCTGGTGTGGCGAGCCCTTCTGACTTCTCTCGACTGGCCCCAAGTTTCAAGAGACGGGATGAAGCAACTCTTGAAAA